GGCCCCCAAGCACTGAAAATGAGCAGCCCCAGGCTGCCCTCAGGGCCTGCTGGGGCCTAACCTGACTCTTCTTGCAGTACCTGTGCCCAGGCCCTACCACCTTCAGGAGGTGGAAATCCCCATCGTGGGCAATGAAGACTGCAACCGGCGCTACCTGAGCAACTTCCCCTTGATGAAGACCGTCAAGGTCATCCAGGATGACATGCTGTGCGCAGGGAGCAAGGGCCACGACTCCTGCCAGGTGAGAGCCTCCCCTGTGCCCAGTGGGGAGGAGGGTCCCTAGGTCCCAGGGGAGCCGGAGGCAGGAGGACCCATTGCCCAGGGTGTCTTTGTCCACAGGGTGACTCCGGGAGCCCTCTGGTCTGCAGCTGGAATGATACCTGGCTGCAGGTAGGGCTGGTGAGCTGGGGTGACAGCTGTGGCCACCCGTTCCTCCCGGGGGTCTATGTCCGAGTCATGAGCTATGTGTCCTGGATCCACCAGTACATCCCCTGCTCCCACCGGTGCTAGTGGGGCCTGCGATCTGGGGAGATGACTTACCTCCTCTGCCTTCCCCTACCTTTCCCCGTGGTGGCTTCCCTGGAGAGAGGCCATGAGGGGCTCTGCAGGCAGACCATGAGGGCAGGGGCCAGCGGCTCTGAGATCTGGTGTGTCCATTAAACTCTGGAAAGGTGTCCTCAGGACTCGTGTGGACTTGCTGCTGGAGGGCCTCGGGGTGAGAGTGGAGTGCTCCTGGTGGGTTCATGGTGAGTGACCATGTCTGAGGGTGAGGGGACGGTTGTGGGGTCCTGGCCTCTGGGATGGTGGACCTGGGAATGATGCAGAGTCACCATGGGTCTTAGTCTCTTGCCCTACCTTCCCCTCCTCTCTGCTCCCTCCTCCCTCTCCTCCTCCCTTCCTGCTACCTCCTGTCTCCCTCCTCCCTCTCTCCTTCCCTTCCGGCTCCCTCTTCTCTCCCTCCTCCCTCTCTCCTTCCCTTCTTGCTCCCCTCCTCTCTCCCTCCTCCCTCTCTCCTTCCCTTCCGGCTCCCCTCCTCTCTCCCTCCTCCCTCTCCCTCCTCCTTTTCACCTTCCCTTCCTGCATCCTTCCTCTCCCTCTCCCTCTTCCTCCTCCACTCCCCTCTCCCTCCTCCCATCCTGCTACCCACTGCTCTCCCTCCTCCCTCATTCCCCCTTTGCTACTCCCTCCCCCTCCTTCCACTCTCCCTCCCAAACTCCTCCCCTCCTTGCTCCCTCCTCCCTCCTTCCTGCTCCCTCCTCCCTCCCCTCCTCCATCTCTCTCCTTCCTCTTCTCCCTTCTTCTCTCCCTCTCCCCCAAATTTCCATCTTCCCTCCTTTCCTCTCCTTTTTTCTTTCCCTTATGTGTGAGAAAGAGCTTTTTATAACAAGAAGTAGTTCTATATCAAGGAAACATCCCAGCCCAGTCCAACTCAAATCCGTAAGTCCCTCTTGGGATGCATGCAGCGCAGCACACAGGTTGGCGGGTGCAAAGCTGTGTGGATCCAATGCCTGTGGGGACATCGCAGAAAACCCTTTCTCTCCTCCATCCTTCCTGCTTCCGCTCAGGTCACACTTCCATGTGAGACGGGCCAGTCTCCTGGAAGCCCAGACCTGCAGGTACCCAAGCGCATAAGGGTCCAGGAGACTCGACTTCCTCCCAGCCTGGGATTGGAGACCTGGGAGACATCAGGAGGTGGCTCCTCCCCGGGGCTCTCCTCCCCTGGAACTCTGGACAGGAGATTCTGGGGTCAGAGGGTGGGAGAGGTGACTCCGCAGTGGACACGTGTGGTGCCTGGCAGCAGTTGTGTCCTGGGAAGCCCTGCTTCTTGAAGCAAGAGAAGAGGAGCCCTGAGGTGCCCAGGGTCAGTGTGGGCCAGAGGCCCCTGGAGGTGCCCAGCGTCAGTGTGGGTCAGAGGCCCCTGGAGGTGCCCAGGGTCAGTGTGGGCCAGAGGCCCCTGTTGGGCCTGTCCTCACGGAGGGG